TCAGAAAGCCTGACAGCACTGCTCCATTCAACCACATTGTAGTAACACTACACTTTACATGTCCAGTAATGGTAACGGTGTTGCAACAATGGGAAAAGAAATTAGATTACTCTTTTACGTAAAAAAGAATGTCGGCAACATGCAGTGCCTGGCCCGGGCCTCAGTTAGACCTTGGCTCCTCTGCTGTCCCATCACGCGGGAGGGGGGTGTCCAGAAGGGGGAGGACCCAACCTTACCTGGATGTCCTATGTCTTATATATTCTGGAAGCTGTGCAAATGCAGGGATGGGAGTAGATATTCTGCTGGGATGGGGCTGCAGTGGTCAGCACCCCAGCAGAAAGCAGAAAGGGTCGAACTCTGGGAACCGGTGATGGTTGTACCTTTTGTGCAAAAGTACTGAGACCAGAGTGAATAGGGTGTGTATGGGGAGCATGAGTTGGTCTCTGGTGTGCATTTTTGTAAGTCTTAGGTTGTATGTGTATGTGTGAGCATGAGGGAGGGAGTGTGTGACAGTGTTTGTGTATGACTGTATATGTCAGGTGGGGCCTTTGACTTCTCCCCTCCTCTGGGACTTATTTTGCTGCTATTGGCCCTTTGCACGTGACATCATGCCACTCACGAGACCACCGCCTTCACCATGATGGATGGCAAAAAGATTGTTTACACCCGTTGAAACTCAAGTGAAGCTAGTCAAACCAAGCCAGTTTGTAGCCATTTATCGCTTTTATTTAGTTGATTTGACAGTAAAATGGTTTTAGCTTGCTGCGTGGTTGGCTGCACTAAGAGACAAGGATGTAAACTCAACTGGTTTTGTTTTTTTAATAACTTTGATGGAGACTGAGGACGGAGATGAACTGCAGTGATCAATCAAGCAGACCAGCACCCTCAGAAATGCAGCGAGTATGTTTTTACTGGGTAAGATTAACGTTCATTTATTTCACGAGGAAGACAGGGACAGGGATAAATTTGAAGTGTTTATACTAGTTATTGACAATCCTGATGGATGGGTATTTCACCATGGAGGATGCGTGCCGTCCACTGTAGTGTAAAGTGAGACAATTATTAACAATATTAAAGCTCCGATGTATGATTACGTGCGTTAAAATTACGTTATTTATTTATTTGAGCGTTGCCGTTCAGAGATTTTCTCATTCCGGTGTGGGAGCAGCAGCTGAACCCGGTAACACCACCAGCAACAGAAACTGGTAGAGATCTGGACTTTTTAAAAATCAGCTTTGGTGTAAAGTGAAACGCTGTTTATAACATAAAGTCATAAATCCAGCGGGGTGAATTTAGGCAAAGTAAGCAACACGTTTACATCGGTGAACAGCTGCAGAGAGAACGTAAGCTAACGTTGGTAAGCTAGTTAACATATCGCTCTCTATGAGCCCCGCTAGATGCGCTACTTCTTCTGATAAGTGAACTGGGCATGAACTAGTTGAAGGAATGCTGGAGGAGTTTTGTTTTTGTTTTGATCGCAAAAACATTGTCAGGCTCTACTTTTCCCTTTGTTTAGTATTCGTGGCGCTCACTGTTTACATGCTTTTGCTGTCCAGCATGGTGAACCCACGTGATTAGGTGACGTCGGTGCAAAGGGTCAATACATCTTCGCCTCCCCTCCCCCTGCCACACTTGGTGTGTAGTGTGGTGCCTTGGTCTGCCTGAGTGTTCACAGGTCCTGGGTAAGGGGGTTTAAGATTTTTGGCGTCTGCCTGATTAATCCCGGTGGCTGCCTGGTGGGATCTGAGTCCCTTGGCTCTGTTGGGTCCCCGGAGGGGCTTTTCGCCCCTGGGTCCCGGGTCGCTGGGTTCCGGGCTCGGCCGGCTTGGGGGTGGGAGGCTGCAGGAGAGCCTGTGGGCTCGCTACTGATATCCCCCGGGACTCTGCCGGCTGCTGGTTGTGTCCCCCAGGACAATCCTCTGCGCCTCTCGAGGGGGGCTGGGGCTTTTCTAGTTGCAGTCTCCCTGGGGTCCCAGTGCTCGGGGGCAGCTCCTGGATCTCTGAGACTTGGAGCTCCTTCCATCTCCTACACATCTTTGGGGGGCAGATCTGTGGCCCCTCACACTCTCTATTGGACACTCCTATAGAGAAAACTTACATATACAAGCACGTGTACACACACAGGTGCTCACATGGTGCTCTCATAAGTATGGACTTGGGCACGTTCAACACATGTTTTGAGGCTGTGGTTGCCACTAAATGCACTGTGATTTATTATCGTGTGATTGTTCAGTAAAACAATGTTGATTTTATATTTCCTCATCAGTTTGACGCAGTGATAGCTTGCTCCTGTTGTATTGTTGTGTGTCCCTTTTCTTTTTTTATCCTTCTGCAGGTCAAGAAGCAGACTCTTGTTCATCATTGATTGTTTGTTTTTGTATACTGGACACTGTGCTCAGAGCGGATCGAAGCGCACACAGTGGACAGTGGGCTGAAGATCTGTAGAGGGGTTTGCAGCGCAGTGCAGAACCACGGTGCATGCGGTAAGATTTCCTCCCACCGCAGCGGTCTGGAAACCCTGTCTCTCTGAGGGATGTGTCACCTGGAAAAATGTTCGCTGATTATGAAACTTTGGCTGAATAGCGCTTGTTCCCGTCTCTAATATGGACACGCATGACGCATCCAGTCTGAGGCAGAATAGCCTCTTCAGCTCAGAAAGCACCTGTAGAGACATTTGATCACGCACAAAGTTTATGTGGAGCAGAAGCGGTCGGGCCACGGCAGGTGAAATGTTCCTAGCCTACATGAAGTGAAACTGTTTAATTGTAACATTAATATGTTACTGGACACGCTGGTCTGGTTGGTTAGACCAGTGTTTGAAGTGGAAAACACACACACACACACACACACACACACACACCAATTAAAATAATGCTGATAGCGTGGACTAGAAGACAGGTGATGGTTTACATATTTAAATGATGATCAGGCTGCTGTAAAATGTAATCTCCATCCACATCCAGACAGAATGATCCTCTATTCTTTCTCTGTTTGCTCTGCTCTTGTCTGGGCTGATGTAGCTGACGGTGCGCGCGGCGCGCCTAACTAGCGGCTGTGATGCACATTTTACGCATTTGGAGAGGTGGGCTGGATGCTTTGCTTTTACTGGAAGATGGTCCACTTAACGCGCGGGTGTAGACTACATATTAATGACAAATGAATGAAAATTAAACTGGGAGTTTTTACTTCATATTTTATAAATAAAAATGACGGGGGAAAACATTTATGACGTCTTTTTAAACTAAATTTTCTAGCGCGACCTGCCTGATTCACTTAAGTCACTGCTTATTAAGGTCCGTCCAAAATTACCGTGGCCCACCCAAAAATGAAAACTTGGCGCTGCGCCTGTTATAAACCTCTGCAAATTGTTGTTCTTCACTTTATCAAACTCAGACTTTGTACAGCTAATGTCAAGATGTAAAATTATGAATTCAGTCGAGCTCTTCCGTCCTTCCCTCTCCTGCTCTCCTGGAAACCCGACATCGGCTGTCAGAAGCGGGAGGTGAAGAAGGAGATGAGGCAAACAGAGTGAGTGCGACGTAAAGAAACCAGACTGGTGTGGAGGTGAGCAAACAGCTGGAAAAGTGAGGGTGTCAGTTGAATGATCTCAATAAGAAAAGTGTGGGTGTTGCATCCCCCACGGGTGCGACGCCCATGCCTTTACTTCAGAGCTGTCTTTTTAAACATAGGGTTAAAGTTGAAAAATGTCAAGCACCAGCCATTTTAATGTTGGAACATACCACAATATGTTACAGTTTCTGCCAGGTGAACAATAAAATGCACTTTTAACTAAGTATGCATTTATTCTAAACTTCTATTACTACTTATGAGAAATTGATTGTGAATCCAGAGAATCTATTGTGCTGCAAGACTTCTGTATTTACTGGTTCACCAACTTTGACAAGCCTCTTCTCTCTGCCAGGTGCAAATTAAAAACTGGGGCATCATTCAAAATATTTGATGAAACTGAATTTAGCAGAACAGGAATGTGGATTGAGAAGAGAGGAAATGGGAACTTTACAAAATGAGGAAAATTAAATAAATATCTAGTACCACCTCCATGGTCTCCTATCTCCATCAAATGTCTGAGCAGCTCAGGAGTCTGAGATACTTCTGAACAAGTCCTGCTTCTTTCCAAAGCAATGGGTTAAGATACCGATAGACTCAAATGACTGATAAGGTTGAAAATGATTACCTCCATCCATCTGTAGAACCGTAAAAATGTTTTAGTCTGCATTACACCGGAAGCACCTTCTAAAGATAAGGAATTAAAGACTGAACTCCTTCAGAGATTCACATGTCTTAGTTGTTCACTTGTCATCTACAGAAAGCATCATCGTTAACTTTTCTAATTTCAAGCTGCAAATGCAAAAACACTTCCAGCTGCATAAAAATCCTGATAAACTTATTTTTTCATGCATTTCACAAAACTTCTACTCGGAGTTTCTGATGATACTAAACTAAAATAAAAATAAAAAGGTCAGTGCATGAGCCAAATGTTTACTTAAATGATCAATAAGCATGACTGGATAATGAGTGCCCATTTCAGATCTAACAGCTGAATGAGCCAGTGACCTATACCTGTTTCAATACAGCACAAAGCTTCTGGCAACAAAGTAAAGGTAATTATCTATCTATACAATGCATTTAGAAAGAACAGAAAAACACAACTATAGACGCTCTTTTTAACCTAAATTCAGCAACAACACCTGAATAAAATCACATTTTAAAATAGGATTTCTTTGTACTATTAAATCCTCTGGTTGGAAAAGACAAACATTGTGCTACAATATTTTTATTTGTTTTTGTTTTTAGGTACATGAAATGTTTATTTCGTTTCATAAACACTTTAATCACAAATTGTTATTAATTCAATGGAATTTGTAGTTAAAATGTTTATCAGGTGGGGCTCATAACCCACGTTTTTGTCTTAAAAACAATTGTGCAGCTTATGTAAACATACAAAAACAAAGAAATAAAGCAAAGAGGCAGAAACTTACCCTTTACCCTCAAGCTCTCAGGGATCCCATCCTGATGGAACAAGAAGAGAAAAGCTATAAAAAACCATAAAACCCTCAAACAACAAAGACAAACTTTCTCATTCAAATCTGTAAATCTTGATCATATAGTGTGATGATTGACAAATGAATCCAAAACTAAACATTTTCATCAGTATTTCAGCATTTAAATGTGTTCGTGCAGCAGAAACAAATTAACAAGGATTTCGTTTTAAAGAGAAATTCAGTCTGAAAAAAATAAAACAACCTAAATAATGATGCATCAGTAAAAAGGACACTAATGTCTCATTATGTAAGAGCCATTTGCTTCACTTTCATGTTCAAAGATTAAGCATTAAAATCACTGTTTCCAAACACTTTGCTTGGTCAACACATATTTATCCAATTATACAGTTATTTTTTTTCTGAAACTCAAATATTTAAAAGCCTTTAACTTGCTTTGTGTCATTTTCAGACATTGAGTTAGATATTTAGAGGCTGTTCCCATTCTTACCCAGTCTTAACTGTATTTTTATGGAGTTCCCTGTTGCTCTATTTAAAATCATGACTGATACCTTTAGATGTTTATTTAGAGTAATCACATCTTTGTCTGTGACTCACTTACAATCATCTTTTTGTTCTTCTGATCTCTAATACAAAAGAAAAACATCAGCAAATATTCCCTAAATATCAAACTAAAACAAAATTAAATCGAATAACTGTCTATGAACATCAGACACTCTAAGTCGCACAACGTTTACAACCGGAGGAAATGGCTCCATCAGGACCACTATTCCAAATATCTGTACTCCAGAAACCATGAACTCAAATGGGCATAAATATTTAATTTCTATGGTGTGATCTGCATGGCCCATCATTCTTCCTCTTGTAAAGAAGAATTAGGCCGTCTTACCAATTCTAGCTGGGTGGCTTGGTTGCAGCCAGTCTGCTGTCAGTAATGAATGACAGTCTGACTGCCAGCAGGAACCAGATTACTCAGTTCCTGGAATGCCATTGAAAATGTGCATAATGTATAAAACACCCACTCAAATGATTTAAATCATATTAAAAGTACATGCAATATGTTTAAAGATGTTTCTGTATTAATGAAAAATAATGGAGAAGTTTCTGGTTTAGTATTTGATTTTAGTGTAAGTTTATCTTTGAACTATGTTCTGTGTCTTACTCTCATATTCCCATCAGGACTGTGCTGAAGCTGCAGATGTGTAGAGCTGCTGTCGCTAATGAGTCTTCATCAGAGACAAAACACCCACAAAAACAACAGCTCTGTTGGACCATGTCTCGAGTTTATTGGGGCACATTTTGTGGCTACCACGCTGCTGTTAATGTGTGTTGGTGTTCATAATATACTCCATAGCTAAAAAAAAAACTGCCTAAAATAACTTTTGAGAGAAACACTATTCACATAAAACCAGCATTAAAGAATGTGTTTTTTTCAAATGTCACTCATTTTTTTATCACAATTTGTGAATCAAGATTATTAAATCAAACAAATGTGCACAAAACCAATAAAAAAGGATTTTGTTAACAGAGGAAGAAAAACCTAAACATTGTAAAACTTAAAGGGACTTTACAGAGTTTTGAATTTTTGTGCTCGCGATTGCCCCCTCTGGCCAAAAGCATAAAGGCAGCTTCAATAGGAGGCTTGTGCACGAGGCGCGCATGCTGTACGTGCACACTCCTTAATGAAAATAACAGCTGAGACGAAGCTCTGTGAAGCTGACGGGGGTCAGCTTCACAGAGCTCTGAGAGATGACGGTCCCTTGTGTGTGTGTGTGTGTGTGTGTGTGTGTGTGTGTGTGTGTGTGTGTGTGTGTGTGTGTGTGTGTGTGTGTGTGTGTGTGTGTGTGTGTGTGTGTGTGTGGCCTGGAGGACAGAGGACAGGAGAACGCACAGCTAATTAATTAAATAATTTGGTTCTGTACCTTTCTCTTCAGCACAGCCGACAAAGGTTTAAGATGGGTCAGTCCTCCTGCATGCTCAGATCATTCCATTCCCTTACTTGAAAAATTGTTCCAAAAGGAAAGTTGAACCCACATCTTTTTTATCTGTGAAATGAACGCCGTTCGGCGAGTCTCAAATAAAAATTTGGGCATCTTACTGTAAAAAAATATACCATTAATGTAAAAATAAAATTCTGAAACAACCATGTTCACATCCAAAATCATACCCGGGTTCTTCTGCACAAAAGCCCGAAATTTTACTAGGCAAGCTAAAGCACCATTGGCATCTTCTGTATCTGTAACATTTATATCCTTGATCACAGCTGAAACAACGTTCAAAGAACGGTTCGGAGGGCTATGCCTGAGCGTGAACGCGCATGAAGCAGCCTGCTTGACCCGAGCAGCTCTTTTTCTGTGATTTTACAGAAAAACAGGCAATCACAGTAAAAATGCCAGGGCTCATTCTACAGGACCAGGGCATTGCAGGAGAATGTATGAAGAAGAAATTTATTATTTCTATACATGTTTTGGCTGTCAAACTTCCATAATGTCCCTTTAAAGCTAAAAGTCAGATAAGGATTTTTATTTTTTGATAAACCTTTTTTTTTACTGGTTGATAAAGATAAACGTGTTAGATAAAAAAAATCAGTTTAGAGGCAAAACACGTTAAGATTCTGGCCAACATTTCAATTCAAGATGATGAAGAGAAAGCACGTTCCTCTGAAATAGGTCAGGTTCAACAACTAAACCTTAATGTCTGAAAGAACAATATATAGCCAAAGAAACACCCCAAAGACTTGAGAAAATTTTCACAACAGCTAGGCCTGGGACGATAACAAATTTTGCTGGATGAGATATTGTCCAACAAATTATTGACAATAAACGAAATTGCCGACACTGAGACCGAAATAACCACGTATGTAATGTTAATGTATCATAATAACGCAAGTACACCCTTTAAAATGCAACAATTAAACCTTTATTTAACATTGGAATGTCCAGAACCAGAACTTTTAAATTAATAAATAAAACAAACCAAAAATGAATAAATATAAAATGACTTTCACTCTCTGTTAGAAAACATTGCACCAAAAACAATAAGAGACCCGGTCTCTCCAAAGCAATAAATACAATGCCCTGTCCAGTGTCAACAACCAAAACTGCATTTCAATAATTATAATAGAAAAATAATAATAGAGTTGTACATTTATTAACCTTGATATATTGAGGCTGGAAAAATTATTGAGTTCATCTTCATCTATCGTACGATTAATTCATTTGATTATTGTCCCAGCACTAACAATGTTCTGGCCTCATACTAACAGCAGGTGTACAAAGCTGCTTAAAATACTGAAAATATGCTCACAGAAAAAAATAAATAAAATGACAATCTACTCTTTGTTTGCTAACAACCAAAAAAAAAAAAAAAGAATAAAGAACTCCTGCAGTTGGGAAAAATATCCAAAGATACTAATTGGTAAAAGGCCGTCAGACTTCACCTAATTGAGGAGAATGATTTCCCCACGGCTGCTGGCAGGCCTGACTCCTCTGCCCTGAGACTCTGGAGACAGGCAGACACGCTCAGCAGTACGACCCTTGCTTCATCCGGCCCCGTCACCACCAGGTGGCTGACGGCCCACTTCTACCTCCATCTGTGTGTTTCGTATCTCCCATCGCTCCACCCGGACTAGCATTCTCTTTGTTGAGTCATCAGAGTTCACAAACATGACTACTAACCTAATCACACTTCAACTCTAAACATACTGGTATACCTGCAAATTACAACATACCTATAAGACGAATTGGCAGAAAAGAGTCTTGAGTATTCAGGTCAGAAGCAAGCATGTCTGCTGGGTCAGAACTACACATGTGCAATTTAAAAAATAAATGATTACATGAACAAAATTATATTGTCTGCCAACTATTTATGTAAATGTATGGCAGACTGTTTTTTTTTTTCTATTTCCTTGCCTGCTCCTGTATCTTAATGCTGGGGCTCACAAAAATAAAGCTATAACCCATGAAACAGCTCTGGCAGAGACTGTTAACAGCATTGCTGCTTCAAGTCTACCAACACTGGTAATCCAATCAAAACACTGCCATATTAATAACTGGGGATGTAATGATTTACTTAATAATGGTCCAAATGTCTTTTTTAAATACTTGGAGGCATGTTTGGTTCAATAATAATAATAATAATAGTAATTAAATCTTATGCCATCGACCTGAGTGACTGCTGCAGCAGTAGCGGGTCAGTCTTCTGACTCAAGAACTAGAGCAGTCTAGTTCTGTTTTGGCATCATTTTGAATTTTGACAAACCTTTGAATATAGTGGTGAAATCGTTCTGGATAAAAACAAATGTGTTGCATCTGTACAACACGCCTCACCTACAGGGATGTTACTTCAGAGTTTTGGCACAAGGAAGAGTCAGGAGGGAAAAGATAAGTTGTGTTTTTCACAAATTCCAGTGCAGAAGTCAGACCTAAAGCTTTGAGAGGTCTCATTGCTAAAGATTGTTATACTCATGAAGATGGAGGATGCAGGATTCTGGATAAATGAAGATTAAAATTGAAAAATAGTATTATATCCCATTACAGTAACACTTAAAGACGGTCCTTCCAAAACCTAATGAAAATATATTACAAAGTTACTGAGCAGCTTTGTGGTACCTTAACTCTTACTGCTCATAATAAAAGTGGGTCGCTGCTAACAAGATCCACTCAGAGCATCTTTCTGAAGAACAGGCAGAAGCTGTAACTACAGTGTACATTTCAGGGGATCTCGGTATCAGACATCAGGTATCATCATGCGGACAGACACAGCAAACCTTCTTGTCACAGCTCACATTGATGAGCCATCCTGGATGTGCTACACTACCTGAGCCACTTGTGTGGGTTGTAGTCTCCATCTCATACTACCACTAGAGTGAAAGCACCGCCAGCGTTCAATAGTGACCAAAACTTCAGGCAGAAAGCACAGGAACTGAGAAGCGGTCTGTGGTCACCACCTGCAGAACCACTCCTTTATTGGGGATGTCTTGCTAATAGCCTTCCCACCTGTTGTCAGTTA